GGCTGGATTGATGCTGTTTGATAACTCAGCTTAATGCTTTTCAAAGCAAGCTATTAAGTGATCAAGTGCGGCATTGTAAATAAGCCATTTTCAGAGGTGGTCCAGATTTCAAAAGCTGGTTAAAGAAATTCTCTTATTGTCAAGAAAAATTAATCGGTCGACATTAAAAAGCAAGACTAAAGCGATGTTTTTTGGATGAAATTGAAATTATTGGAGAAGAAAATTTTAGTTTTTCTCCAAGAAAACAAAACGATTTTTGAAGTTTGATTTGGCGCTTCCTTGTCACTAAAACGTTCCGAAAAAACTTCTTAATAAATTTTTGGTTTGTTATTTTTTGTTTGTTTTGTTTTGTCACTAAACCGTTTTGAAACAAATTGCCAAAAATTGTAATTTCCTTACGAATTTTTTGTTTGTTTTTTGTTTGTTTTTTGTTTGTTTTGTCATTATCATATAGGGACGGACATCATTTTTTAGGGACAGATTTAGAAAGATGGTGCTCTCCCCTCTAATTTTGAAGAAGAGCGCGCGTCGAAAAAGCGCAACTTTTTGGTCAAAATTTTCCAAAAAGTGCTCTAAAGTTTTTTTCAATATAACTTCTTTATACTGTTAATTTTTTATCCGGGTACTAATTGCAGTCGGGTACTAGACTTTTTCTCCGTAAACAATTTTGTCCACAGGACTCGTCTGGACTCATCTCTACCTTGTTTCATTGAGTATTCAAATTTCTTAGCACTCCTGGCCAATTTAGCCTGGAGGTAACAAATATGCCTGGGAGGGCAAAGGTCCTGGGTTCGAGGCTGACCAGGATCTGTTTTTTTTTTCAAATGGAAAATATTCTGTTTCAAAAAAATTGTCGGCAAATTATGTCTGTTTTTCTACGAGCATTTTTTTTATGTTTTAGTGTTTCATTTACGCCTAATATTGTAATTTTAATTACCTTGACTTCATATTTCCCTTGTTTTTTGTTTCACTTAAAAAATTTTCCTCGGCCTAAATTAATGGGACGGTTGAGGAACAACTCAATTTGTAGCTCTCCCGTCTGCACTTTTCAAGTTGGTTGTATGTTAACCATCTCTTTGTTTAAATTTCATTTTGTTTTTCTTTTTGGAAAATTTTTTAACTTTCTGCAAGAGTTTCAGTTATTCTGATTTTCAAAAAAGAAATATCAATTGAAAGACAGTTGATTCCTCTGTGTGCATGCATACTCCCCTAGAGTCTTTTTTTTACTTGAACCTTCAGTCTACAGCCTTCGGAAAAGTGTGGGGGGGAATATTTGACCCATATTTTTGATTTTTTTGTTTTCTCGAAAACTTCCTCTAAATATGAGTTTTTGGTTTCATTGGATAGAAATGTTTTGAAAAGCTCCCCTGCATTTTTTATTTTTGACTGTTTTTGAAATTTTTCTATTATTGTTGAAAACTACGCTGCCATACCTGAAGTTTTGGGTTCAATTCTCAGAACGGGCTTCGTGAAGATCATTTGCTTATGCGACACAATATTTTTCGACTCCATAAGTTTTGCTCCTCGGAAAAGTAAAAATTTTGATGTTGTGACTCTTTTTTAAAGACTTTGATTTTTCTTGAAAACTAACCTCCCAAATCTGAAATTTTGGATTCAATCGAAAATACAGATTGCGTGAATCCCTTCTGAATAACGCTTCTGCATAATTTTTTCACACAAAAAGCTATGGTTCTTGGAGTCGTCAATTTTTTGATTTGTTGAACCGCTTTTTTGGAAGTTTTTTTGGAAACTTATGAACTTTATGCAAAAACTATCGGGCCAATTCTCAGATTATGTTCAATCGAGAAATCCGGCTTTGTAAGTGTTTTTTGCGGAAAATGGTATAGATTTGAAAAATCTTAGACCGCTCTTTAGAACCTTTTTGGATTTTTGGAATTTTCGACCGCTCTTTAGAAACTTGTTGGATTTTCTTAAAATTTACTCAACCAAATCTGAAATTTAAAGTTCAATTGAAAGACCGGGTGGCGATAATTGTTTCTGCAGTAGCTGTGATTCCTTAATTTTTGTAAGAGAAATTTTATCTCCTGGGGAAAATTGAGTTTCTCAAAATTTCTTACTGTTCTCACTTTTTAGTAGAGAAACAATTAATGTTTTAAACAAACTCATTCAATGTTAAACACGTAATTCCAGCTTTAGCTGGGCCTGTAGTTGTTTTTTATCGAGACTTACGAAAAATTTGGTTCACCTAGTTTTTACATTAATTTTTTTCTCGGCTTGTTTGTATTGTATCGCAAAACATGCCCCATCCCTCCGAGAAAACCCGAGATCCGCCCCTGGACTTAATCGTTATGATTACGTTACTAAATTGCTAAGCTTTAGTTTTTCCTCTCATGACACCACACAACAAAAATGGCACAAATTTGAAAAGAATTTTTTTTTAACATAAATGTCGGAGCTTTCTGAGCTACTTGGTCAGCAACGGGCTGTGGTTTTGTGATTTATTTGAGTCAAAAAACAACCTTGTACAAATAAGCGTTCATAGTTATTCGAATGTCATTTTTTGTCTGCAGTTTGCATGATTTGGCACGAATTATATCTTCTTTCGCCGCGTCTTTCGTATAACCGTTACATTAGTTAGTTGTTATGAACTTTTCGTTTTCATGTATCAAACTCCCAATTAAGTTGAATTGGATCACAATCAATTTGGTGGTATACGTCTAATTATTTGATCATCTTAATATTTATTTTTTCTGGTGACAAAGTTGGCACTTGTTTGATTTTGTTTGGAAATTTTCGCTTTTTCTCGCAAAAGGTCTCTTAGGTTAAGTGGCGTTTCGAGTTTGTTGCTTTTGTGGCAGATTAATCCCAGATATTGCACGTGATCAAACAATTTAGAGACTGTCTATCTAAATACATGCTTTGAATGCTTCTTTCGTTTAGCTTTCTTCCAATTTGATCGCCATTTCCTAATTCATTCAAATAATGTTTGCGGCGGGTTGTCACCGGAAAGGAGTCCAAGTTGTGTTTAAGATTAGGTGGGTAGAATAATTGATCAAAATACATGAGCTACATTTTGAACAGGTCGTTTTCCCAGTCAGTACTACCACTTTCAGTTCAAATTTAATGACCCAACTCTCAAGGGCTTGGCGTAGTTTATACCTAGACCCCTTTTATTTTCTAACAAAATGATGCATAAGTTCGTTTTTCAAACACAATCAAATTGGCTCATTGAATGAACGATGTGATGTGAGTTTGCTCTCAGAATAGCAATCATTTAATGCATGGTTCTGGAAAAGCTGAAAATTTTTCTAAAAATATTGTTTTTTTTCTTGACATTTTGATAAGTACGCACTTTCTCTTTTTTAAACGGATCGACTTCTAATTTCAAATGTGTTTGAAAATTGCAAATTTGGCCATGCTCTGTAGGTTTAATCCATAATTCTGAAAGCGTAACGCGAAATGTTTGTGCGCAGCGAATCATCCCGAACAACAAAATTGTTCCAAATTTGAATTGAGGCTAGCTAATTGGTCGTATTAATTTCGCTTGACTCAAATTTTCACTTGATCTTTGATATTGTCCAAAATTTATAGCTTTTAACATTCTCTTTTCCCAAAAACTATTCGGGAGTGCGACCAAAAAGAGACAACCTTTGTTTCATACCGGTCAAAAAGTAGACAGAAAGCAAACTCAGGAAATAAATTGTTCTTGTTCAGGATTCTGATTGTTGGTTCAAAACTTTCAAAAGATTTGTCAAAGTTTTACTACAAGCGCATTTCTAATTCAGCTGGCGATTGAACTCATGAAATAGTCATGATCATGTGTTAGTACTGATCTGACTACTTTGATTTTTGATGGTTTTTGAAATCTCCTCACGCCCGGTTTATGTTTTGGAGATGTGACTTGTTACTTTTCTAGTTCAAAGAATTCATCTAATAGGCGGGAAAATTATTTGGGTGAACTTATTGTTGTCATCGTGATCATGACTTTTTCATGTGTTAGTATTGATCTGAATACTTTTTTTGAAGGTTTTTGCTCCTGTCGCCCGGTTTTAAGTTTTGGAGATTTGACTTGTTTACTTTCTAGTTCAATAATGAATTCATCTAAGAGGCGGGAAAATTATTTGGCTGAACTTATTGTTTCCATCATGATCATGACTCTTTCATGAGTTCAATCGCCATCTGAAATAGAAATGCGCTCGTAGTAAAAACTTTGACAAATACTTTGAAAGTTTTGAACATTTTACTTTAAATCCTTCAATATTTCACGCTTTTGCTTTATGTAAAAAAAGTCTAATACTCAGATAGTTAGTATTGATCTGAATACTTTGATTTTTGATGGTTTTTTAAATTTCCTGACGCCCGGTTCATGTTTTGGAGATTTGACTTGTTCACTTTTCTAGTTCACTGTCACTTCATTCATCAAATGGCAGGCAAATTTAGGTTTCTCAGCGGAATTGATTTCTCAGATGGGATAGTTTTTCAAAGACGAGTCCATTGCGAATAATTCACAATTTTTTTACTGGGAGCTTTAAAGTGGTTAAATTGGTTTTATTACAATTAAAACTTGAAAAGTTTTCGTGAGTCCATTAACTTTATACGTTTTATTGTTCCGACCTCTTCACCATGTGAAGGTAAGGAACTATGGCATAAACTGTGTTTTTTTTCGTGTAAAAAGATGTGTTAAAGCTTGTAGGAGATCAAGTGTGGTATCATTTTAAAGACTTCCATCGTGATTCCAAAAAAAACCAAAAACGGTCTGTGACAAAAATGGACGTGGCAACGGCAAAATGAATGACAACCCACTGCAGGGCCTCCCCGACGGTGGCCCTGCAGTGGGTAGGGTTGGATTCAATAAAAAAATGTATGATCTGTTTAAACGATGTAAAGAGATTCCGGAAAGATATTTCAAGAAACTTCTCTCAATGTTCCCATATTTCAAAAAGCTTCTCTGCGCACCTTTGGGAAAAATTAGCTGGTCAACTAATTTATAATTTCAAGTTTTATTATAGGATATATCGAGATGAGTGTTGTGGTTTCAGGAACGAGAAAAATGTGCTTCAAAAAATCATCTGGCAAGTTCAGTAGAAGAGTTGAGGAAATTCAACTCGCGGTGCAAACTAAAGACCAAAAAGTCTACTTCTCAAGTAAGTACATATATACTATACACTTTTCTTCTCTGCGATTCAATCAGTTGTACATCTCTATAATAATTTACAGCCAATTTTTGCTTTGAAACAAAATTGAACTTAATCAAAGCGTCACCAACAAAGCACTCTTTAAGAATTGCACGTTCATTTTCTTGATTTAATTCAACGGCTTACGTTTTGTTAAAAATGAAAGTGTAAAAGTTCAATCATTGATTATTTTTATTATGCTTTTCAATAAAGACCGGTTTATGTATAATTGGCCTTCATAAGTTTACGATTCCCTGAATCGTGAGCCGCATAATGCCTAAATAATTACTTAAGTTTTTCCAATTTTCTCAAGAGTTTTCTGGCGAAGTTGAACGTTTGTTACAAGCTTTAAGCTGTTTTTGTTGCAAATAGAAAATTCGTTTGGCCCTTAAAATTCCTCGAACTTTAGTTGGAGAGCCGCAAGGTGCCTATATTAGAAATCTCGGTTAAATCAAAAAGTTTTAAATTGTAATTGAGGCTAGTTCTTACATCGGAGTAACAAGATTTGTATTGTACATTGCATATTCCAGACTTAGATCAATGAATTCATCTAATGGGCGGGAAAATTTTTTGGCTGAACTTATTGTTTTCGTTGTTTTCATCATGATCAGGCGCGGATCTAGGGATTTCCCGAGGGAGGGGGGGGGGGGGCGGTTTTTCGATAAAAATTAAATTGTCGACCTTTTTCTAGCGCTCCTCCCTGAAAATTAGTAAAGAATGGCGCCTTAAGAAAAATTTTAAGGTCAGTCAGCCAAAAATGGATTTCTCAAAATAGTACAAAGGGGGACCCTTTGGGTAGGCAGGAGGTCGAATCCCTGAGAAGAGGTCCCCCCCCCCCCCCCCCTAAATCCGCTGCTGATCATGATCATGACTTTTTCTTGAATCATGACTTCTTATACTCACCGGTGATTAGTCAGAGATCTGCGTTTATTTAGAGAATTTTTTTCATGTAACGCGAACCCGTACTTTGGTGTTGTTAATTATTGCTCAATTTTGGGGAAGTATAAAAAATCTTCCAAATGAAATTCGGCGATTAAAAAGAGAATGGAAACTACGCCTCACTCTTTTCTCTTTCGATTCGTCGGATATTGACTCAACATTTAGCTCATCATTTCAAATAGTAACTACATGTTCTATTTGACTAATGAAGTACGAGAAATGTTACTATGTTTGAATTGGACTTTCATGTGACTTATCAAACGATTATGGTACGAGAGTTAATAGTACGAGTTTCTGTTTGTGAATCTTGGCGTACGTAGTGGAGCTCAATTAGCCTAACGAACCATTGTCTTTGGTAAAACTCATTTTGTTCGCAAATGTCAGCGTTATTATCAACTTAGAGGAGTTTCGAATTTTATCTGGCGACATTTGTTTGTTTGGCACAACCCCGGAAGTACTAAAGGTTGAAAAAATCCAAACAAAAAGCAAAATCATTATTTTGGCTCCTGTCGACGATTCAGTATCAATCCAATTTTTGGTCAAATTGGTGCCAACCATGACTCGTGTTGGTTTCGTTATAACATTTGTGTGGTGCTTCGCGTCATCAGCTTCCTTCGTACACCATAACTGTCTCACGGATCATCATTCAAATTGTATCTTCCGTGACAATCCCGTAGTTCCATCCGCAGTGCAATTGGGGCCACGTCCGTTCTATCTCTTAAATGACATGGAAGAAAGTCCTCTTAAGGACACGTTAACGGAATGCGCGCAGAGCAAACTTTTCTACAAACGTAGCGAGGAGACTCTTGGTCACAGAGGAGCGGCGTTGTTCTTTCCAGAACATTCCAAGCAGAGCTACGTAGCAGCTGCGAGTATGGGAGCAGGCGTGATCGAGTGTGATGTGACGTTCACGAAAGACAAAGAATTGGTATGCAGGCACTCGCAATGTGATTTACACACGACTACCGACATTCTTCTCAGAAGTGATCTGGCGCATCTATGTACTCAGCAGTTTGTGCCTGCAGTATTCGACCCAGCTGGTAATCGGGAATCGCAAGCAAGTGCCAAATGCTGCACCAGTGATATAAATCTGGAGCAGTTTAAGTCCCTGAAAGCCAAAATGGACGGAGCTGATCCTAATGCGACAACAGTTGAGGATTACGTTGCAGGGGGAGTTCCAACATGGAGAACCGATTTGTTTGCAGCAAACGGAACTGTAATGACTCACACTGATTCAATCGAACTGTTCAAGGCTATGGGAGTGAAAATGATCCCGGAGCTGAAGCAGCCTATGGTTCCGATGCCGTTTGATGGTTTCACAGTTGAGGCCTTCGCCCAGAAAATTGTAGACGATTACAAGCAACATGGAGTAGACGCAAGTCAAGTATACCTTCAGTCTATGTTGTTGGAAGCTATAAAGTTCTGGGTTATTTATGAAACTGACTTTGGAGATAATGCATTGTACTTGTGGGAACCAGAAGATGCCAGCGAAGACTTTCGTGATCCAGCAACGTGGCCTAATTTTTCAGAATTAGCGTCCCAAGGCGTGAAAACCTTAGCACCGCCCATGTACATGTTAATTGATCTGAAAAATAAATCCAAATTGATAGTTTCTGATTTTGCAATAGCGGCTAAGCAAGTTGGTCTTGTCCTCAAGTCGTGGACTTTGGAGAGGTCTGGTTCCTTGTACTACGGAGGAGGTTCATATTACCAGACAGTTAACGGGGACGAGCCGGCGAATAGACAGAAAGTTGACGGTGTAATTCATCGAGACGGAGACGTTTTCACGATTCTGGATTTTCTATTTCAAGCTGTGGGAATTGCAGCCATATTTACAGACTGGGCGTCTACTGTAGTTTTTTACACAAACTGTATTTTGTAAATAGTTTCTTAAATAAAATTAGTTAATTTAGATTAATATTGTAAATATCAAGTTATTATAAACCTCGTCTTGCTCAAAAAGATTAGAATGACGGACCAAAAAAAATTCGATTAACTTTACTCATTAAATATATTTTTTACCATGCTCAGGCATTGTATTAAATTTAGATCGCTTATGAAAATTGTTTACCCTTGCAAACAGCAACAGTGCTATTAATCAGGGGCGGATCCAGGATTTTCTCGAGCAGGCAAAATTTTGAAAAACAGGCCAGTAAATTGATGCACTTTTTGAATGTTTTTGACCAAAAAATTGCGTTTTTTTGGCGCGTGCTCCGCCTCAAAATTAGTATATATTGGCGCCTTTAGAAAATTTTTAGGGTCCTTCACCTAATATGGATATCTCAAAATAGTACAAAGGGGCAGTTTTAGACCCCCTTTGGGTCGGCAGGGGGTCTAAATCCGCCCTGCTCTTAATAGTACTTCTCAAGATGTTAAATTTTGCTATATTGCAAAACGCAATAATTTCAAATGCGAACTGATGAAATATGCGATGATCTAAATGAATCCGCTGAGTACCAATGACTAGTGTAGTACTAGAGAATCGAAGAGCCTGTTTTTTGGTATATGATGGTTTTTCTCATCGGAAGTGATTATGTGAATAGAATTATTCAGTTGGCACTGATTTTCGAAGCTAAAATGAGGCTTCTAAGTTTCTCTTGTTCATCAGAGAGTCTCAAGGTTGCCAAACAAAAACCTGAATGATCTGAAGTTGTCTTTTATATCAAGAAATGATAATGTTTATTCATACTTATCATCAGGTTTTTACACTGGCGAACTTTAGTGAGCGTTATTGTGATACTACAACTATTCTTTTTTTCCAACCTAATTCGTAAATTTTGGTGCCCTTTTTGTGGAACCCTTACGGCTTTTTGATAGCATGTGCTTTAACATTCGAATAGCTATAAGTTAACGCATTTGATACATTTTAAATTCATCAACTGAACCGGAAAAAGCTACTTGTTTTGAACAACAACAATAATAACAAGGATAGCCGGTAGTACAAACGCTTTTTTTTAATTAGCGAAATTTTTTCGTTGGGGTGATAAAAAGTCTGATGTAAAACTTTATTTTAGGCATATTTGACATTCATAGTACTATAAGTACATTAGACACAAATATTTTTTGGAAAATTGAATTCAAAAACAAAGCCATTTCAGATTTTTTGCAGAAAGTTTTCTAATTTTTTGAAATTTTTGGTTCCTAAAATGGAGCTACAAAATCCCAAAAACTAATTTTACTTTCTTAAAGTTAAGTTTTGAGGGCCTAATTTTTGCCTAATTAAGCTGGTGTATGCCTGATCGTTCGCTTTATTTGCTCGAAATTAGACGAAAAATCAAAAATTTCAAACCGGTTTTTCTCGACTTTGGAAACAATTTTTGGGAACTTTTTATCTGGTTCGAATTACGACTGAAAGGGCTTTAATAGGATATGTTACTCAACCCTGTCCGTTGATTATAATACAAAGTTCATCCCCATTTTCAATGGTCGGAACAGAAACTCCATTTCGGAAATTTTCTAACTCATTGTCGAGCAATTTTTTAAAATGCATATTTCATACATAATGTGGTTTAGCAATTTTTTGAAATGCATACTTTATACATAATATGGGTTCATGCTTTCCAATATTTGATGGATCCAACTGGATCTGATGATGCTCATAAGTTATACTGTTTCTTTATCTCTACAAATGTATCTACTAGGTAATTTGTCGTTATTGAGATGCATCGGGTTATCTGCTTTTGATTAATGTTCAACCCGATAGGTCATTTAATATTGCTGTTTAGCAGTGGGTGGCCCGCCCGCATGTTGCCCAAACCTAATCGTTAATGTTGATAGGAAGGGGTAGTAATAGTATCTATCAAGTGTTGATTTGTGGGACTTGAAGCGCCTGTCTCATCCAGACAATTTCACAATCGCGATATGAAAAGTAACCTCTTCCCCTTTTTGGCCTTTCTATTAAACTCTTATTACTACTCTGCTCGTACTTAACTGTAGAAGAAACGATTGTATAAAAGAGGGGTCAAAAATCAGCCATTTTGAGTCTATTAACTCGATTAAAATTGGAGTAGATTTGAAGTTCAACTGTTCACGACATCCAGTCATGAACTTGATCCAGAAAAAATGCTATTTTCAATCAAATTATTTGTAATTGAATTTTGTGGTTCAAACGGTTCTCAAATCATGTAGTTTAAAAATGGACATTTGAATTAATATAGAAAGGCTGTTGGTTACTTCTACATTGGTGCAATGTTTTAGAAGTTTAGGTTTGTGATTCGATATTCGTAGCAGTGGTTCTTCCATTTGACCGTTCTACTCAGGGAATAGTGAGAGTAGGCCAGAGTAGCGCCTGCTCTATATCGTGTCTTCAATCGCCTCATTCTGTATTCCTTTCCTCCCTCCCTCCCTTCTGCTCTGTTGACTGCTTTCCTTTCCGCGCCTACTTTTCCCCCTTCTTTCACCTCTCTTTCTTTCCCTCTCCTCTCCTCTTTCTCCCTTTCACACTCTTTTCCTCCTTTGCATGCGCGCCAGATCAGGCTGCTGTTATACCGTAGATACATATATTATATGTATAGTGTCCTACTGGTCAATTGAAGTTTCAAATTTAATTGCGCTTTTTCACCCACCTCAAATCGTAGTGTGCTCACTTCTACTCTGAAAGGGTCTGCCTGCGACATTTGAGTACTTTGTTTAGCTGTTCTGGTCGTAGTCATAAATAGAAAGCCGCTCGATTGCAACATCAGGCCCCGTCACAAACAATCTATGCATAAACAAGCTTTGAACTCCAGGACAGGGATTGTTTATACGTCTCTCTATACGCTAATTTCTGTGATAGGAGTTGTGAAACTTGATTGTTTTATGCAAATTTGTAGTTATCATCCATGAAAATTAAGTGGTGGTTGGTGCCTATTATTTTAGTCTTTTGCCAATTGAACTAAGCAAGACTAAAAGCGTTAATGTTTAGTATCATTTTTCAGTTGTTCATTTTAAATCTAATGCATAAAATTTGGGAGATTCTATATGAGAAATAAACAAATATTATCGCAGATATCAATAAGAGTTTCAAACGTTCCAAAATCATCGTAGTTTTTATTAACCTAAATTACTGACCCTAGGAACATTTGCTTGTCATGGTTTTCCTAGGGTCAGTTGATGAGTATTGATGAGTTCGGTTACTCATTTATGACACAGATGCGCGAAATTACTGTTCTTTTATGCTCGAAAAACAAAAGTTTTGCGCTTTGCTTCGGAAAAGTAGTCTAAAAATCCTGAATAGCACAGTTAATCAACCGTGTTTCACTCGGCCTTCTCAATTTTTCTATGATATAGAGGGCACTGGTTTGAGTTAGAAGTCAGTTCGCGATGGCAAATTGTTTGTGAATTTTGTTTTTAAGTACATGCCACCGAGTCACAGGTCTCTAACGGTGATATGCCTGGTCTAATTTCCGTCAATCAATGTCTTATTACTTGTGACAGTCATATATGTTCCCGACTTGATCCGGCGCTGTGGGACTTTCCCTCATATAAAACCAGTTAGGATGCGCTGCTGAAATAGCAGCAGCATGTTATTAAAGTTGTTTGAAGTTCCCCGATTCCCCCAGACGAATTCCCTCTTCAGTGTTACCTTTCAACGCTCCCGTTGGCATCGCGGGCGTTTGAAACTATATTAGGGATATTAAATAACGGATTGACAAGGTAATGAAGGTAACATGAAAGCCAACTTTTTAACTTCAGCGAACCCACGACCAAACAAAAAAGATATGCTGTTAGTTCACCTGTTATATTGTATCACGGACAAAACCTGGAGTAGGGATGTGATTTCAGTGAATATTTCGAGTAGTATTAGTTGTGTCTATGAGATGATATTTTATTAATCGTACCGGAACAGAACGGCGTGGCAACTTTGACTGGCTTAAATATACATAGATGACGTCAAACACTAGTTTATTTTGTTTTTTTTAACCTTTTTTATCCTTGTATAAACGTCACGTCTATCCACAATTTGAATGAAATAACATAAAATATGAGCATATTTAATATTGAACTTCAATGTCGTTGATGAATCTTTAATATTTCTGAAATAACTTCTTCAATAAGGTAATATTGCAACGCTATTAGAAATATATCCTTTAATGAAAATCAACCTTCGATAGTTGAGACTTTTGTTTTGCTCAGGGTGCAATACTGGCCGAGATGCATATAGTGACGCCAGAGGGTGTGCCGATCCACTTGACCAATGGGGCGGCAGGAGGAGCAGGAGCACCAAATGGGGTAGTCTCAACAGGCACTGCGGCTGTGGGAGGAGGAGGGACCATCATGCCCAATGGAGCCCCGCACCTGGACGGGTATCCGAACAACGACACGGACCCCCTCGGAATATCCGCTCTCAATTTCTCTACTTCTGGTATGTGATGATTTTGGCTAGAGTTGTAGTCTCGTAAGTAGTGCCGAATTCAAACCATTACAACGTAGCGAAAAGGGATCCCAGGTCTTCAAGATCGATTAGCAACCGTGTAAAGGTCTCGAAAAATTTGACCTGATCGACTTCTAATTTCGAAAGTACTGTTGTTTTCAAATTTCTTAGCAGAATAAAAGCTTGACCTATTGGTCCAATTTATTTTTAAAATTGAGTTACTTTTATCAAAAAAGTGTCAATCATAAATTGTTCTTGAAATTCAAAGAACCATATATTTTTCAAAAAACAAGAAGTTTATAATTTTTCTTCCTTGCGTTCATTGACTCTTTTTCGACTGGCTGTTTTTGGCTGCAAGCTCTGATTTGTCCATGACTGCCTTACAAACCGTCTGCATTGGTTTTTATTTGGCTCTTTTAAATCTGATCGCTTGCAAAAGGTAGAATTTGGCTAGCAAAAACATCCAATGCGAAAGAGTCGAAAATTTTGTAATTGCGTAGGTTTCTCACGTAAAGATGCCTCATTGGTAAAGTGTTGACTGGCAGAAGTTTGGGTGCAATAGAAAGCGTAAGGCGTTCGAGTGAGCTAAGTAAATTGTATTTGAAGTGTGGTTGATTGTTCAAAGGTGCGTTGAGCTGTATCGTGGATGCTTTGGAGAACCCCGGTTACTACGAAGTACTAGGCAGTGAAAAGAAGGCCAAGATGCTCTCAGATCTCTGCACAGACTTTTCGCTACACTCACTACTAGACGTAAGTATCAATCTGGGAACTGAACTGAACATGACCCCTTCCCAAATTGGCAAAGAATGCATTGTGGTTTTCACGTACACCTTCTCCATTCTACTAGCAAAAGTTTTACTCCCCTCTAAATAGTGATTTTCTAGGTTGTTATAGTTTTTTTTGGTCTGGCCAATCTTTTAATGCAAGTTCAGTGTAAGTCATGAAATTGTACAAAACGTCAATTATAATTGGTACATTTGTCAAATATCTTATAGTGAGCAAAAAGTGTTGCCGAAATTAGGTTTAATTTATCATTGAGATGAAAAAATATTGGATGATATTTTTTACATTTTGATTAAATCGAAATTTCAATTGCCATAGTTATAATGTGTCAAACATTAAATTGAGTCAGGTGTTGTGTTGTAAATATGTAGCTTTACGACTCAGTGTGCAATAAGAAGCCAATCCTGTCAAGTGTGAAGAGTGATGCTGAAGACTGTCTGGACAACGGTGGAGTCGAACCAGTACTGTTGGTATCCCTGTGTGAAGAAGTACTGCACGATTTGTCTGCCTCATCTGCCCAGCAGAATAATTTCACTCAACATAACGGCCCAGCGTCTGCATCGTCACTACAAGAACTGCTATCATCCCCATATCTAAGTGTAAGAAGATGATTATGCTAGAATTTACTTGGCAGGTTTTCGTTGAGAACTCATTATGCTCACAAGTTCAAAATTTTTTGATCGTTGAGACCATTTATGGTAAGCGCTCAGAATAATATTGCCGGCTCTCGCAACATTGATATGATATTTGCGCTAGTTTTAATAACTTAAGGTGTGTTCTATATAGAGCATGATTTTGAACTAACTCAACTTAATCGACGTGGTATGAATGCTTTAAGTTTCATAATAAGAAAACCGAGGGTTAAACGTGGAACTTAATTTTCAATCCTTCATTTATTATTTTAAATCCTTCAGTCCCTTCTGAAGACGTACGACGTTGTCATCTCAGAGTTAAACAGACCCCGCGCAGATGCGACAGACGGGAGTGAGACATCACTCTCCGCGTTAAATGGGTCCACCTCACAGCAAGGCCTCCCTCATCATCCACAGCAGCTAAGCAGCAGTAATACTCCTATCATCATGGACCGCAACCACCAAGCCCCGCCAGGTGAGACGCATTTGGATTGGTTGAGTTAAGTTGACATCATTTATCTAGTAACTAAATGATCAGCATACCAATTGTTGAAGTTTTTATGGTGATGTCTTTAATGGGACCTAATTGCTGCCAGTCTCAACTTATGTTTCTGATTGAAGAGACGTCGTTCCACAAGGAAACAAAAAGTACAGATCGTGATTGATGGTTGAAAATTCATAAGGTCCGTCCTTGTTCTGGCAAATAGATAGTTATTTTCTGTAGTCGGCTGCTTGTTTTCTGCAATAGAGCCCCATTTGATCCGAAAACTGACAAAAAATTGATACTCGGCAATTGGCAGAGAAAATAAAATGTTAGCTTTTAATTATTAGTCACATGATCAAAGTACCATGTAGTTTTAGATTCGAACCTTTCTGTTTCAGTTATGGACCAAAACGGAAGTGCAGTAATTCCCTACCCACCTGCTAACCCAGGACCACACACAGTACGACTCGTGCAGTTCCACCGAGGCACAGACGAGCCAATGGGCATCACTCTCAAAATGACAGATGCTGGCGAGTGTCTTGTGGCCAGAATAATGCACGGGGGAATGGTGCACAGACAGGCGGCACTGCAAGTGGGAGACCAGATCAAAGAGATCAATGGAACTTCAGTGGCCAATCATAGCGTAGATACTTTGCAAGAGATGCTGAATCACCTGAGAGGCAGGATCACGTTCAAGATAGTGCCCAGTCAAATTGCGGTGCCACCACCTTGTGAGGTGAGCACTTCTTTTTCGGAAATTAGAGTCAGAATGGCATTGCCGAGCAGTCTCATCAAACTAAGATTGATCAAATTTTTTTTACGAAGTTCATACCTTAGTTTTATGCTTGCGATTTGCAAAACTAATCAAATCGGAATATTGACGTTTTTGCCACGTAAACAATTTGTCTTATACCATCATTGCATAACTTCTTGGACTTATATCACTTCTTTACACTAGCGATCAGCTCAGTGTATTATTACGAACCTTCTCTTTTTCTAACTTAACTCGCAAATAAAGGGGTCCATTAAAAGTTCACTTTAGGAAATTTCACTGTAGCATTGGAAATTGCACAGCATCTGTTCTCTACTTTATTTGTGGCTTCTGTTTAGTACCTTTTAAGCTTCCGTGGCTGAGTGGTCAGTGCGTGAGACTCGCAGTCTCTAGGTCGAAGTAGGTCATAGGTGCGAATCTCAGACCTAGATTTGCTAATTCGAGGCTTATTTCTACTTTTTCTTATTGCACTTAAAGAGCTGCACTTAAATACTGCACTTATTGCACTTTTAGTGTTTGCGAAGCGAATCTTCGCCTCTGTGTAAAACTTGTCAGTGCAAGTGTTTTGTAATCCGGAACTAGAATGTTTTCCCGTAAACAACTTGTCTTCACATTTGCGCGCTTGCGAGCGTTAGTGTATAAGTACGAGCCTTCTTTTTTTTCTAATCTAAAATGTTCCCTGATTTTGAAATTTCGCTGTATCATTGGAAATTGCATAGCATCTGTTCTCTGCTTCGTTTGTGGCTTGTTTTGTCTTAATTAAGCGTCCGTGGCTGAGTGGTTAGTATTGAGACTCATAATCGCGGTCGAAGTAGGTTTTAGGTTCGAATCGGAGACGTCGAATTTGAACTAATTCGAGACTTATTTTGAGTTTTTTCTTTTTTTGTTTCATAGAGCTGCTTTTTGTTGTGTTCTGCTAGTGTTTGCTTATTTGCTTTTCTTAGTTCTTTAATAATTGAACCTAAACAACTTCTAGTTTACTTCACACTTACCCTAGAGGTAACGCCGTTGCGCGTTGCCTTTCAACCCTATGGTCTAAGGCTCGAGTCCCGGGCGTACTTATTAAAGAGTAATGAACATATTGAAGACTCCAAAATAGGTCTTGCTGATTGTTTTTTCAGAAAAAATCCAAAATTGTGTATAAAAGTCTGTAATAACTAAAGATAGGCAATTCATACATATTGATGCATTTATGAATACATTTAGGTATATATGCACTTTGAGTTAAATTGGAATTAATCTGCTGAAAAAAAAAACGTAAAAAGCACTCTCCAAATACAAACGTGGAATTGGAGCAAAAGAACGTGAACGATTTCTAGTTTCGAAAATGGAATTTTTCTTTTAGATTTCCAGCGGAATAAAAACTTTACCTGTTGGTCCATTTTTCTCAAGTTGGTTTATTGTTATAAAAAAAGCGCCAATCATAAATCGTTCTAGAAATTCAAAGAGTTTAAAGGTTATCTTTAGTTTTCTTTTAAAATTCGAAAGTTGTGATTTTTTCAGCAAAATCAGTGTTTTTTTAATGTTTACTTGCATTCATTACTCTTTTCCAATCTTCATTTGGCTGTTTTTTTCAGTTTGCTTTTGAAATTTTTTTGCGGTTCAAATTGAATCTTTGGTCGTGCAATAGTTTTGTCGGCTTAGTTGACACATCACGGATGTCGCGTGTGCTGTCAGCAATTTTGATTGTAGTTGCAAAAGCAGGTGGTGTTAATTGTAGTCTCACAGGGGATGTGAATCTTTTTTCAAATGTTTTGGAATCATTTTTTTTCCGGCTTAACTGGTGTCTGCTCAAAGGTTGTCCACTTAGTTGCCACATCACGGATTTGTCATCTGATTCAAGCGAGTTTCATTGTAGTTGCAAGTGCAAGTATTTATCATTGAGTTTCAGCTAGGACTTAAAGCTCTAAAGATGATTTCATTTTTAAAACTTCGGCTAACTTGTGTCTGCTCAAAGTTTGTCGGCTTTCTTTCTTTTTCGTAAGTTATGTTCCATTGAGAATTTGATATTGAAATGTCTAGCATGTTTGCCTGGATTGAACTTCTATCGATACGTACGAACATTTAAGTTTTGGTAGATCCATTTTTTTTCAATATTTTTGACTTTTTTCGTCTTAAGTTTTTATGTTTGTGTTGTATCGCAAGTGGTTCGAAGCTCAACTTCGCCTCTGTGTTCCTTACATGCACGAAGTGTGCTCTTACAGTATGATTTTTCAGTTGCAAAAAAAATGTTTAGCCGGGTTCTCGGCTTATTGCGTGTCGTCTTAATCCTAAGTCGAATTTCTTTTTCATATCTCCCAGCGGAACGAAATTTTTATATCACTCAAAAAATGTTCTTGAAATTCGAAGAACATACTTTTTGCCGTGGAATTCAAAAGTTATCAGAAAAATTAAATTGTATTTTTCTTCCGTTCCTTGATTTTTTTCCAGCTGTCTGTTGGCTATTCCTTAATATTGGCTTGATTTGTTTTTACCGTGTATTATTTGGAAAGATAACTCTTTTTGATTTAATGGGACTCAGCAAGCCTGAAGCTTGCCTGATTTATTGGATTTCTAGAGTTTGGGACTCAGCACGCCTGAGAGTTTGATTCTTTTTGTTGAAAAATTGAAAAGTTTATTTAATTGAATTATCATATTTATTTGGTTTTCATGAGGCACTTGGGAGATCGATTTTACCTCATTGGGATTGTTTTTCGAAAATTATTTTGCCTCTTCTTTCCTTTATTTGTGTTTTTGAATTTAACCAGTGACATTTTTGTTGCTTGTTTCCGAAGTGCAGCTTCGCTGATGTGTTAATTTTTTCAAGCCTAGCTCAAGTACATGCTTTGAGTTACTGATTGGTTTTGTGAACTCTGCTCTTCTCCAAAATCCTTTCTGCGATACGAAAATTTCATATTTGGAAATGAAGGTCGGACTAATCTTTTCGGCTTCTTAGAAGCAGAAAACCAAATCGGAAAACAAAGGATTTTCAACATTTCATCAATCGTCCACTGTATAAAGAAATGCATTGCAGCCAGGCTGGTTTCAGACCGGAGCTGTTGATTTTGTGTTTCCTTTGAATGTTTTTACGCTAATTTTTTTACACTACCGAGCTTTAACGAGCGTAGTGTAATAGTATGGCTATTTTTCCTCAGCCTAAATCGCATTTAGCGAGCGGTAGTGTATTAGTAGGGCTATTTTGCCCCAGCCTAAATTGCAAATATCGGTGACAATTTTAATAGGGTGACCTCCCTCATGCTGGAGGGACCGAATGGTAGATTTTTTTTGCCTAATTTCAGCCAATCAGAATTGAGTGTTCAAAAATCTTGAGGATATCAAAAAAATCTCAAAGTAAGCAAACAAAATCAGGCCATTACCAGTTTTGTTGTGTTCTGCTAGTGTTTGCTTATTTGCTTTTCTTAGTTGTTTAATAATTGAACCTAAGCAACTCAACTTCTAGTTTACTTGACACTTACCCTAGAGGTAACGCCGTTGCCTTTCAACCCTAAGGTCTAAGGCTCGAGTCCCGGCCGTACTTTTTAAAGAGTAATGAACGTATTGAAGACTCTAAAATATGTCTTGCTGATTTTTTTTCAGAAAAAATCCTAAATTGTGTATAAAAGTCTGTAATTATTAAAGATGTGCAATTCATACGTATTGATGCATTAAGAATACATTTAGGTATATATGCACTTTGAGTTAAATTGGAATTAATCTGCTGAAAAAACCGTAAATAGCACTCTCCAAATACAAACGTGGAATTTGAGCAAAAGAACGTGAACGATTTCTGGTTTCGAAAATGGAATTTATGTTTTAGATTTCCAGCGGAATAAAAACTTTAACTGTTGGTCCATTTTTCTCAAGTTGGTTTTTTGTTATAAAAAAAGCGCCAATCATAAATCGTTCTAGAAATTCAAAGTGTTTAAAGGTTATCTTAAGTTTTCTTTTAAAATTCGAAATTTTTTCAACAAAATCAGTGTTTTTTTAATGTTTACTTGCGTTCATTACTCGTTTCCAATCTTCATTTGGCTATGTTTTTTTTTCAGTATGCATTTGAAATTTTTTTGCGGTTTAAATTGAATCTTTGGTCGTGCAATAGTTTTGTCGGCTTAGTTGACACATCACGGATGTCGCGTGTGCTGTCAGCAATTTTGATTGTAGTTGCAAAAGCAGGTGGTGTTAATTGTAGTCTCACAGGGGATGTGAATCTTTTTTCAAATGTTTTTGAATCATTTTTTTCCGGCTTAACTGGCGTCTGCTCTAAGATTGTCCACTTAGTTGCCACATCACGGATTTGTCATCTGATTCAAGCGAGTTTCATTGTAGTTGCAAGTGCAAGTATTTATCATTGAGTTTCAGCTGGGACTTAAAACTCTAAAGATGATTTCATTAAAAAAAATTCGGCTAATTTGTGTCTGCTCAAAGTTTGTCGGCTTTCTTTCTTTTTCGTAAGTTATGTTCCGTTGAGAATTTGATATTGAAATGTCTAGCATGTTTGCCTGGATTGAACTTCTATCGATACGTACGAACATTTAAGTTTTGGTAGATCCATTTTTTTTCAATATTTTTGACTTTTTTCGTCTTAAGTTTTTATGTTTGTGTTGTATCGCAAGTGGTTCGAAGCTCAACTTCGCCTCTGTGTTCCTTACATGCACGAATTGTGCTCTTACAGTATGATTTTTCAGTTGCAAAAAAAACTTTTGCCGGGTTCTCGGCTTATTGCGTGTCGTCTTAATCTATATCGGTTATACATCTAATAGTTTTTTGCAAAATTTCAAAGAGATGTTTGAGAGTGATTAAACTCTTACGAGATCTTGTAGAATTCACAGTAAACCTCACAGACCCTCATTTATTTATTTTCACAATGTTAACTTCACTCGAAACTTTCTTAGTTTTTGATTAACCGACCGTTTTTTGTCTTTTTTTTTGATATAACAAGTAATTGAATTTAATTTTCTTTTTTCGTCAACCACTGATTTTTTAGAGTTAATAATGTTAACTTGATTTTCGCGGTTTGAATTTTTTTAAATAAAGTTCATTTCATTTGTTTAAAGGAAGGCAATCTCCACTATTGAATAGCAAAAGTATAAAGGTTATGAAAAACGTTTCCAAAGTGGAGATCTCCCAGCGAAACGAAATTTTATATCACTCATAAAATTTTCTTGAAATTCGAAGAGCATACATTTTTTTTACAGAAACATAAATTGTTTTTGAATTTCAAAGAACATACTTTTTGTCGTGGAATTCAAAAGTTATCAGAAAATGTAAGTTGTATTTTTCTTCCGTTCTTTGATTTTTCTTCAGCTGTCTGTTGGCTATTGTTTAATATTGGCTTGATTTGTTTTTACCGTGTATTATTTGGAATGATAACTCTTTTTGATTTAATAGGACTCAGCAAGCCTGAAGGTTGCCTGATTTATTGGATTTCTAGAGTTTGGGACTCAGCACGCCTGAGAGTTTGATTCTTTCTGTTGAAAAATTGAAAAGTTTATTTAATTGAATTATCATATTTATTTGGTTTTCATGATGCACTTGGGAGATCGATTTGACCTCATTGGGATTGTTTTTCGAAAATTATTTTGCCTCTTCTTTCCTTTATTTGTGTTTTTGAATTTAAATTGTGACATTTTTGTTGCTTGTGTTTGCGAAGTGCAGCTTCGCTGATGTGTAAATTTTTTTTAAGCCTAGCTCAAGTACATGTTTTGAATAACTTACTGGTTTTTGTGAACTCTGCTCTTCTCCAAAATCCTTTCTGCGATACGAAAGTTTCATATTTGGAAGTGAAGGTCGAGCTAATATTTTCGGCTTCTTTAAAGCAGAAAACAAATGATTTTCAACATTTCATCAATCGTGCACTGTATAATGAAATGCATTGCGGCCAGGCTGGTTTCAGACCGGAGCTGTTGATTTTGTGTTTCCTTTGAATGTTTTTACGCTAATTTCTTTACACTACCGAGCATTAGCGAGCGTAGTGTAATAGTATGGCTATTTTTCCCCAGCCTAAATCGCATTTAGCGAGCGGTAGTGTTTTAGTTGGGCTATTTTGCCCCAGCCTAAATTGCAAATATTGGTGACACTTTAAATAGGGTGGCGTCCCTCATGCTAGAGGGACCGAATGGCTGATTTTTTTTTGCTTTTTTTCAGCCAATCAGAATTGAGTATTCAAAAATCTTGAGGAAATCGAAAAAATCTCAAACTAAGCAAACAAAATCAGGCCATTAGTGTCAATATTGACCGATTATATAATAAGCAGGTGTATGAAATGAATGCCGGATGGAAGGCGGATTGGAACAGTTTTATTTTTTCTAGGATACCGGTTCACGAAAAATTGAAAAACAAAGAACTAAATTTATTATACCTGCACAGATTATATCTGCATCTAGTAATTTTTTTATATTATCGTTTTCTGTTAATATTGACTTCGATTTTGTGAGAAAGGCATTTAGCCAAGAAAAACGGTTAGCGATTTCGATTGGTTGAAATTTTTCCAGTATTCGGTCCTTCCAGCATGAGAACCCTCCCCTTTATTGGCACCTTAACGGTTATTGATAGAATTTGCTTTGACATTCCATCAGTCATAACTTAAGACAGTTGATGCATTCCAGCATTAGGTCCCTCCAGCATGAGAACCCTCCCCTTTAATGGCACCTTTACGGGTTTTTGGTAGACCTTCGATTAGTAATAAGCTCACACAGTTGATGCAATTTGAATTCATCAACTGAGCCAAAAAAAACAACACTACAATAATAAAAATTTGATTTCGAAATTCAAAAATGGAATTCAAAAGTTTTCAATAACAAGTAAGTGTTATTTTTTCTTGCGTTCCTTGATTCTTTTCCAGCTGTCTGTTGGCTGTTTTTGTTTTGGCTTGATTTGTTTTCACCGTGTATTATTTGGAATGGTAACTTTTTTGATTTAATGGGATTCAGCAAGCCTGAAGTTTGCCTGATTTATTGGATTTCCACAAGCCTGAAAATTTTTTTTATACTTTTTGTTGAAAACTTTGAAAGTTTGTTGTTTAATTGAATAATCACATTTAGATGGTTTTCATGATGCGCTTGTGAGATGGTTTTGAGCTCATTGGTAATGTTTTTCGAAGCCTATTTTGCCTCTTCTTTCCTTTGTTTGTTTTTATTCCAAATTTTTACATGCAAAACTTAGTCTATGTTTTTGGTGCCATTTTTGCTGCATCGTATTGGCAATTTATTAGCATATGTACCTGCTTAATTTGTGACGAGTACTTGCTGATAGTTAAGCGGAGTGAGACTCCCAATCTCGAAGTCGCAATTTCGAATCCGATACATAGCAATTTTTTACTAATTCGATACTAACTAATACTGTTTTTTCCTTCACTTCTTAGAGCTGCTGTTTCGTCGTATTCTCGCTGATGTTTACGAAGGGCAGCTTCGCCTCTGTAAATAAAAAATAATCGCGATGCGTTTTATTTTCCTTTTTTTAATACTTTTCTGCATCGCAAATGGTGTAAAAAACTCATCTTGCATTCAAAAAATTATACTTCATTTTGAAAATGTTCATGTTTTAGCTATCAGCATTAATATTTTGTTTGAGAAATTTTTTTTTAAATAAAATTCAGCGTGTTTTTTACACTTTTTTTTTCAAAACTATTGCATAAAGTTTTTCAACCGAACTGTTACAAACTTTGAAGATATGCTATGAATTAACCATTCTATGAAATAAAAGTTTTCGAAACAGCACTAAATAGCTTTAAAAAATATACTTTCGCAACCTAATTTGCTCGTTGTGACAAACCTTTTTGAAGAATGAAAAGGTGAGAAAACAAGATAGTAATTGATATCGCCCATTCTGATTTTTTTTTCAGTTATTCGTGCGAGCACTATTTGATTACGACCCTGCAAAAGATGACTCCATCCCATGTCCAGAAGCGGGTGTCCAGTTCTTCTGTGGCGAGATCCTCCAGATCATCTCGAAGGACGACCAGGCGTGGTGGCAGGCGAGGAAGTACACAGATCCCCCTCATGTCCCAGCCGGACTGATTCCTTCAAGTGAATTGCAGGAGTGGAGGGCTACTTTGAGTGAGAAGGAGAGGTACAGGAAAGAGAATAATCCTGCCTGTGGATGGTTCGGAAAGAAAAAGACCAAAGTTAAGAACTTGAGGGGTCCCGGCGCGCTGCCGCGTCTTCCAGGCTCTATTGGTTAGCTTTTTCAGATTTTATTGACAAACAAAAAGTAATACAAGAATAGCCGATTACTGTGCAGGTAGCATAGATTATTCCGACCATGGTCTTAAAAAATATAAATAAAAGGTCAAATTAGTGTCGTTTTTTTCTGCGTGTTGTGATAAAAAGATCTGAACAAGAAAATAGAACTTAGACATATTCGACAGTCATAGTAAAATAGGACAATTGGAAAACATTTTTTGTAGAAGAAAAATACTAGAAAATCTACAAACAAAATTGCAAGAAAAACGAAAAAAATCACTTTATTAGTTTAAATTTTGGCCAAGTTTTTTAATGTCGTTCAAATTAAAATCGAAAGGGCTTTAATATGATATATCACTCAACCCATTCCAATTATTACTTGTGGTACCTGATTTTGCTTGGATAACTAAAAAAAACTAAAACACATCCGAATACATAGTTCATCCACATTTTTCAAATGGTCGCTAAAATAATTGGTTCAGAAAGTTCGCAAAGCGATCATTTACCTCTTACTGAAAATGCTTTGGAATTTTAAATATTGCTTTATTAAGAAAAGAAAGTTTAGGAAACACATTTGAACTTTGTTTTGGGGCAAACTTCACCAAAAGTTAAAATTATTTGATGTCTACTTATCCATTTTCTCAAAAACCTGGAATTCATTAGAAATTAAGAGAGACATGAGTCGAATTTTTCAAAAGCAAAAATTCATCGCAAACCAATTTCATCAGGGTTCATAGTAGTTCCGTGAAGTATTCCGTATCGAATCCGTTACCCGCTAAGGCATGGCTGTTTGGTTGCTGTGGAGTTTCCTATTTGTAATGGCAAATAGCTCTGCGCCGAATTTTCGCATTTTGAAATGCAACCAATAGTCTGTATACAATTGATAGATGCGACGAGTTTTCGCCTCATTGGAATGAAGTATGAGTTCATTCGACTGCTTCTGTTTCAGAAATTGTGACGTACGAAGAGGTTGTAAAACTGCCAGCTTTCATGCGCAAGACTCTGGTTCTGCTGGGTGCGCATGGTGTCGGCAGGAGACACATCAAGAACTCTCTCATAGCCGCTCATCCAGACAGATTCGCATACCCCATACCTCGTAAGTTTCAGAGCAATATAGCTGTTATATTGCCCTTGACGTCTACTTCTCAAATAAGGATTGTGGAAGTTTACTGGGATCCTATAACAAGCGTTTTTCTACTTTCTCCTACATTCCATTGTTAACATGTTTTTAGAGACTGATTGTTGAGTCAAGTATATGATATTGCGATGAGCGAAGAAACAAAGTGCTCAGAATGTTACACTCAACTGCCTTAAAAATGCTTAAACATTCCTGAGTACAGTTCGAATATTTAGCTTCAACTTGTAAGCCTTGGGTTTTACGCAAGACTCATACCATAGGAAGAAATTTTTATGTGTTACAGACACTTCTCGGAAGCCGATGTTAGACGAAGTGGACGGAAAGAACTACTACTTTGTGACGCATGACGAAATGATGGCGGACATAGCTGCCAATCAGTACCTGGAGTACGGAACCCACGAGGACGCCATGTATGGTACCAAACTGGAGACGATCCGACGGATTCACGCGAGAGGACTCATTGCTATTTTGGATGTGGAACCACAAGCGCTGAAGATACTAAGATGTGCAGAGTTTGCGCCTTTTGTGGTTTTCATTGCGGCTCCCCAGATTACAACTGAAAATGCGTTCTCAAATGTAAGCCGTTGGCTTGTTCAATTGTCCTGGACCACGTAACATCTAATAGTAGATTCTATTTTGATTTATTAATTGCAAGGCGTAGTAAGAAAACCAAATCATTAGCAAGGATGTAGTAAGTACATACATGTCACATGTTTTTAGACGAGTCTTAGTTATTCACAGTCGGGTCATGTAATCATGATTGGATCTCTTAATAAAAGCCTTTCTGTTTGCAGCAAGGAAGTTTGGAAAGACTGATGAAAGAGTCTGATGTTCTCTACCGCTCTTACAGACACCTTTTTGATCTCATCAAGGTCAATGACGACATCGATGATACAATTAGGACCCTGGAAAAGGCCATCGATGATGTATGCACATCCCCGCAATGGGTTCCCGCCAACTGGGTGTACTAACCAGAGCAGTCATTGCAAACTAGCTAACGATTATCGATCATTGGTAAATAGATTGTTCTACAATGACTCGACGAAAGTGACTAAAGGTTATTTGACACTGCGAGTCTGCGAATGCTTCTGAAAAGATGCACATTAATTTATGTCTGGAAAAACTTTTTGATTACCCAGGATGGAATTAAATTGGCCATTAAACTTATTTCCAACTGCAGCAACTCTATTTTTGTATTGACGTCAAGTTTTGTGACAACATGTTAAAACAAGTTAGCTATATTAGTGTGCATTTGTATGTCTTCTATACTGTGAAAACAACTATAGTTGTGAGTCAGTTTCTGTCTGTCTCGCTGTAAAGATTTGCAGTTGTTTCAGTTCTATCATTTCCTCATTAACTGATTGATTTATTAGATATTTCAAATTTATGATAAATAGTGATACTTAACATCATCTCCAGACTCATCGTCTTTCACCGAATTTTTCATTGTTGAACTGTTTTGATGCGGTTCAAGGACGTCCTGATCCACATGATTTTAGGTGAATTGTTTCTATAGATACTGTTGTTACTGGTATCGGTTTTTTGTCGTGAAATAAATTAAATTGATTTTCGCCTTTCTCTTTTCTTGGAATTTGCGTTGTGAACTTGGTACAAATATGATAGTTGGGTCTCTAAAGTTTAGATGAGTCCTTAAAAGATTTTTTGGGATTAAAATGTTCGGAAACAGGTGTCGAATTTGTTTGCTTGTTTTTGAAATTTCCTCAAAAATTGCGGGAACCATTTTTCGTTCTTGCTTTTTTCCGGGACCCAACTATCATACTTGCAGCATTTACTTCAATTATCAGTTTAATGGGCAGCTTCGCTCTCTTGTCATGTAAATTAAAGCTTATATTATATGAAATCGTTTCGCAGTAGTTTAAATCCAGCATTAAATTCAACCGGGCAGGCCGCGGATCGTTTTCCCTGCTCATGATGTTAACTCAGTTAATCAAAAGATTGTTCTAGTGCCATCAATTTGGGTTTCCAGATTTGTACGTTGACTTCAAACTCATGTTTTTCATGAGCGCTGATGTTTTTCATGTATGATGGTGTCTTAAAATCTGGTGAAATTATTTTCATTCATATAACAGCGCAGTAATCAATTTGGTTCATTCGACTGATTTATGCTAAAAGTATAATCCCCATTAACTATGTGCAATGAATTCTTTACTGTCGATCTGTTTTAGTTTTAACGTTTTTCAGGTTTTTATCAAACTCTGGTTGAAAGCAGATCCATTGGCTGTTTTAGCGTGTAAATATGTTTTCTTCGGATTTGTACAAAATTTATAGTTTTAAAAATCGCAAGTTTGTTAATTTAGCAGTAAATTATTTATGAAAATCAAATTGATAAGGCAATGTGTTTTGATAGCTATGTTAATTATTGAATGAATAATTTAGAATTCATATTTTCATTTATTTGCAGAATTTGTTTGAGAGACTAAGAGTGCAGCAGAAATTCCGACTGAAAGTTAACGGTATAAGCGCTTCACAGACATTTAGAGTAATGAACGTAGTGAGTACTCTTATTTAGGTCCTAAGACTTTTTCCCGAAAACAACGCAAAAAAAATCAAGAAAATTGTTTTCAGGAAAAAGTCTTACTATTTGTTTAAGCGCTCAATTTTTCGCGGTTTGAATTTTGATTTTCTACGCTTTGCGATTAGCAAGCGTATCAAACGGGGATACAGTTTTTTTTCTGGTTAACTACTTGAACAAAATCAGTTGAATCACTCGCTGACTTCTTTTCATTTCTCTTCTTTTAACATCTTCCAGGTTGCTTGGCCTGGAGGTAAAGCAGTTGCCATTGTACCCTAACGTCTGCGGTTCGAGTCGTGGCCGGACCTTGTTTTGTTCTGTATCAAGGAAGTTGAAAACAAAAATTTCGAGAAAAATAATTAGTTGTTTTGTTCGTTTGTTCGCTCAGGTTTTGACGGTCTAATTGCCACCACGGATTTTGCTTGTGCTGTAGACAATGTTCATTGTAGTTGAAAAGGCAAGTGTTGTTCATTCTAATTTCAGGGGGAACTTTTTTGGTTCAGTAGGTGTCTGCTCAAAAATGGTCGGCTTAGTTGCCACATCACTGAGACATCTTCATTTTTTCCCGGCTTTTTATGTTTTTTATGTTAGTGTTGTATCGCAAGTGGCGCACAGCTCCGCTTCGCCTCTGTGTTTTAAGTTCAATTCATTTGCTTCTTTAAGAGGAAGGCAAACTCCGCTGTCGAACAGCAAAAGTGAGAAAGTAAAAACAAACGTGATCAATTTCTAGCATCGAAAATGGAATTTGCTTTTTCAGATTTCCCAGCGAAATAAAAAAAATACCTATTGATCCAGTTTTCTCAAATAGCGTTAACTTTATCAAAAAACGACCTATCATAAATTGTTCGTGCAACTCAAAGATCGTTAATGGCATGACTTTTTTAAATTAAAAAGTCGAAAGTTGATATATTTTCTTAAACCCAGTCAGTTTTTTTCTTTGCAGTTTTTTTAGGAGTCGTTGAACGTAGTTCAGACTCTTACATAGGCCGCGATGATGTTTTTTTTTCGTTTTTTTTCTTCAAAGCTAAAAAATTGTTCAGGCTTAATTTCATTTTTTCGCGGTTTGACTTTTGATTTCTTTTTCAATTCAATTCATTTCCCTTTTTTAAAGGATTGCAAACTCCACTATCGAACAGAAAAAGTGTCAAGGTCACGAAAAACGAGATCGACTTCTTGTTTCAAAAGTGGATTTTGATTTTCAGATTTCCCAGCGAAATAAAAAATTTACCTGTTGATCCAGTTTTATGAAATTGGTTCAATTTTATCGAGTAAGTATCAATCATATGTAGTTCTGGAAATTCAAGGAGCTTTAAAGTCGAAACATGAGATTTAAAAAAAAATTCTGCTTAATTGCGTTCATTGACTCTTCGAACTGACGGTTGGCTATGTTTTTCAACTTTCAGTCGGCTGTTTCTTGGATTTTTGAGCTGATTGCTTTTTTTCAGAAATGTTCTGAAATTAATTGAAGTTACTTCTGTCTTTTGGCGGGTTGACTGCTGAGTTTTGAAGTTCACTTCACATTTTGTTTCTGGATTTTAGGATTTAAGCTTCCTACAGCAAGACGCAATTTAGCTATTGATCTAGCTTCAACCTATGCGAACCAAGCGAATGTAGTGTTAAACGATCAGTAACAGTTTTCTAACCACAGAAGATTATTTTAGAGCTAATTTTCTGCGATAATTATTCAAGCGAACTTAAGAGAATTGCTTTATTTTGCAAATGCTACTTTGAAAGAGTCAATGAGCCTGATTAAGACTCGTATATATGTCGTGATGATATTTCTTTGAAAACCTGAAATATCGTCCGAAAAAAAAGATTTTTTTGCGGTTTGACTTTTGATTTCTCTGTAAGATCAGTTTATTTCGTTATTAATATTGGAAAGTTAAGCGTAAAGGTTTTTAAAAAATTTGGAAAATTCTTATTTCGAAACTGGAAGTTAGTTTACATATATCCCAGCGGAATAAAAATTTGATTGATCCACTTTTATAAATTGGGTGAATTCTATCAAAAAAAGTGCCAACCATAAATTGAATGAAATTTCAAAGAGCTATAAGGGCATCTTATTTTTTCTTTTAAATTCGAAAGTTGAGATTTTTTTTGAAACAAGTCATTTTTTCTGCTTACTTGTGTTCATTGACTTTTTTCCAATCGTTTTTTGGCTATTTTATTAATTTAAGTACTGGTTTTCTCTCCTGTTTTTTTTCTGTCTTGTGTTTTATTGTATTTCGCCTTGTTGAAATTTTACTGCTTGTATTTTTGAGCGCTGTTTTGCATCAAGGGCAACACGAGTTATCTTTTGACGATTTCCTAGCTTCATGGTTTTTCGGTTGAAAATCTGCTGGCATCCAAAACAATGAATTTTATCTCCATTTTGATAAAACTTCAGCAGCGTTTTTTAAAAAAAAATGTGATCTGGATGTTCTACGTGGACGCTTGTAAATATTTTCTTTTTGTTGCTACCATTGAAATTGGGCAGGAACTTTGTATTCGAGTGTGTTAAAGTGTTTTTTTGTTTTCCACGCATTGAAGCCCTTTCAGTCGTAATTTGAACGACCCTAAAAAATTTCCGAAAAAATTCCCAGTTATAAGAAAAACCGGCTTAAAATTTTTGATTTTTCATCTCATTTCGAGCGAATAAAGCGAGCAAGCAGGCTTTCAATAGCTTTATTTTTTATTAGCGTACAGTAGTTTAATATGGTGTCACAGTCCTTACCCCCACGTTATTTATCCCCCCATTTTTACACGCCCTTCTTTATTATCCCGTAACATGAGAATCTCACAACATTTAAAGTACCTTTTAATTTCAATAATTTGTTTCAAATTATGTCTTTTTTAAGTAAATGAGTATTCCAATTACCTGTACTAATTGAGGCCTGAAACGCCTGTCTTAACTTACTTGATGCCTCTAGCATCTCAAAAAATTGCTTTTCGGTTCGTTAGAAAAGTAATTTTCCATTCACGCGTTTAAAACAGAGATAACCTACAGGGTGCTCATTGAAAGCAACTCAAGAATTTTAAAAATTGTACATCAAATCATACTGCTTAACTCTTGAACGATTGTTTTACCATTCTATGAGCTATATTGTTTGAAGCGTCCTTCCATTTTACTTTATCCTCCAAAGACAAAAAAATATTAGTGGTATCAAGCCACGAGTTTTGTTTTAAGCGTAAGAACAAAACCACTACTAATAGGAACTGCTCGAAAAACGAGACTCATAAATGCCGAGCAACAGCAACTACGGATGGCGATAATTTATTCAAACGGGGGGTAAGAGTAATCACGACATATCTACGGGAAAACCTGATGCTGACTAGTTTTGAAAAACATCAAGGACCTAAGCGAGAAAAATACCCCGACCGTTGCGGTCGCCACAGCAATTTAGCCCATAACAGACAAAATTTCCACTCAATTAGCCCTACCAATTAGCACTACCAAAATTTAATTCGAAGTTCCCAGATTCCAAGCTGTCCGGATGTTTTTTTTATCTTTCTCAAACTTGTATTGAGAAAATTGCATAACTCGGATTAAAAAAGGAGTAGGAATCTAATTACGAGCTTGCATTAGCACTTAAAATGTTACCCTCACTGGCTTTCGAAAAAAAAGATGAAATAGGAAACTAGTTCGATGAAATTGTCGAGGAAATTCAAATAGTATAAGGTCGCACCATAAAAATAATCGAAATAGATTGCAAAACCTGGCGAGCTCTACCTGTAATTTGGATCTAATTATTTAAAAAGTCTAGTCACGATCCGAAAAGTCCAGTTTCTCCCTTCACTTTGGAACCAAAGAGATGCGGCAACATCCGGTTTGGCAAGAACAACAATTGATATAGAGGGCTGGCATTATGGCATACAGTCATACCTTAGTATTTGGAAAATAATCGCAAACTTGCAAAAATACACCTCCCTTCAAAAATTTAGTTTCTTTGACGCCTCGAGCGGGCACCAATTTACAAAAAAAAAATTCTGCTTAATTGCGTTCATTGACTCTTCGAACTGACGGTTGGCTATGTTTTTCAACTTTCAGTTGGCTGTTTCTTGGATTTTTGAGCTGATTGCTTTTTTTCAGAAATGTTCTGAAATTAATTGAAGTTACTTCTGTCTTTTGGCGGGTTGACTGCTGAGTTTTGAAGTTCACTTCACATTTTGTTTCTGGATTTTAGGATTTGAGCTTCCTACAGCAAGACGCAATTTAGCTATTGATCTAGCTTCAACCTATGCGAACCAAGCGAATGTAGTGTTAAACGATCAGTAACAGTTTTCTAACCACAGAAGATTATTTTAGAGCAAATTTTCTGCGATAATTATTCAAGCGAACTTAAGAGAATTGCTTTATTTTGCAAATACTACTTGAAAGAGTCAATGAGCCTAATTAAGACTCGTATATATGTGATGATATTTTTTTGAAAACCTGAAATATCGTCCGAAAAAAAAAGATTTTTTTGCGGTTTGACTTTTGATTTCTCTGTAAGATCAGTTTAGTTCGTTATTAATATTGGAAAGTTAAGCGGAAAGGTTTTTAAAAAACTTGAAAAATTCTTATTTCGAAACTGGAAGTTAGTTTACATATATCCCAGCGGAATAAAAATTTGATTGATCCATTTTTATAAATTGGGTGAATTCTATCAAAAAAAGTGCCAACCATAAATTGAATGAAATTTCAAAGAGCTATAAGGGCATCTTATTTTTTCTTTTAAATTCGGAAGTTGAGATTTTTTTTTCGAAACAAGTCATTTTTTCTGCTTACTTGTGTTCATTGACTTTTTTCCAATCGTTTTTTGGCTATTTTATTAATTTAAGTACTGGTTTTCTCTCCTGTTTTTTTTCTGTCTTGTGTTTTATTGTATTTCGCCTTGTTGAAATTTTACTGCTTGTATT